GGCGTGGAGGAACATCAGGTCGGTTGCTGCCATCTGTTGATCTTGGGTGGTGGTTCCTGTCTCTGTTTCTCTTATATCACTCCCTTAGATTTTGGTAAGTATGGTTCTTTTTTACGGAAGGCTGCATTCACTGAAGATCTAAGTTTCTTACCCTTTTTTTTGGGTGGTTTGTAGGATGTAAGGTTTCCCTAAGCTATTCTTAGGAGTTCAGAGTGAGTAGAACTCTGGGCTGAGGGAGTTTGGGGTTGTGTTTAAGAATGGTGTGTATTAGAGGTTGGGACATAAAGGCCCTCTCGTGTAAGTATTGTCGTTTGTATGTAAAATCATTGAAATTGAAATGTTATAATCATGATGGTTTGGGCCATAAAGGCTGATTTTCTCTTTGCTTTCATATGATGATAATAGGCCAGAAAGGCCATTGATGCAAGCCCTGTTCCTGTGTTAATGTTATGTTTTTTCTTGGCTGGTAAAGTTATGTTTTTCTTGCAGGTTATGAACTTTCTATTAGTACAAGCCATAAAGACTGAAATGGTTTTCCTGTTCATAAACCGTAATTTTTTTTTGGGGGAAGTTTCCCGTTTATAATCTGAGTCAATATGTTTGGTTTATTCATTGTGAGTTTTGTATAAAATAAGTTTGTTTACTGATTGCAAGTAACAACTTAATAAAAAATCTCCATTCCTGACAACTAGCTTGTCAGGCAATGACTTTCCACCACAAACCCAGCAACTATCGGGGCTGGTAACCTGTGATGCTTTGTAACTAGGGAGCAATGATAATATGAGGCAAGATGATGATATTGATGAACATTGCATAGGATGTCTACGCCTAGATGGTGACTTGTTTTGGCCTTCGGGGGGCTCCTTTTCTCTTGAGGTCCTTGCAGGGCTGTAGGCCACTTGCTCCAAGCAGACTTGACATACTAGCTTGTCAGGCAATGACTTTACACCACAAACAGCAACTATTAGGACTGGTAACGTGGTGTTTTGTAGACGGGGAGCAACGATAATAAGAAAGGTCATAGGCAGGATGATGACCTTGATTAACATTGCCTAGGATGTCTGTGCCTACAGTAGATGGCAACTTGTCTTGGCCTTTAGAGGGCTCTCTTCAACTTAAGGTCCTTGCAGGGCTATTGCTCTTACAATAGCATTGGGACCAGGTGCTCTCTTTTTCTCACTATCTTCACTACTTACCTAATCCCTTTACCTTACAGGTAATGGGCTGTCTGACTGGGCAGCATTCACCATAGAGACAAGATGAAACAGTTTGAAATGAAACACAGCATGACACAATGATCCCAGAGCAAGCATAGAAAATGAACTTGGGATAGAAAGAGCCCAGGCGAATGCCATAAACATACCTGAAGAAAATGACCACAAAAGCATCCAGCATGCACGATTAGAGAACACCACCAAGCGTTGCCCGAAAATGCCTTAAAGCCATTTAAAACTAGCACCCCTGGCCATTAGTGATGATATCAGTGCTTCAGCATGCTCAGATTGCTGTTGCGGATCCCCGCACCATTTCGGAAAAGAGCAAGCCAGGAAACTGCTTACGGTGGCTGCATCACTTCCTGTCATCCATGCTCAGAGAGTACTTTCACTGCTGCGGCCATCTTGGAAATGGTAAATGCCCACAACACAGACAGGTGCAGGAAAGCACTGACAAAACAGAGAATAGAGTAAAGCAAAGGGGAAAATGCTGCCACTTACTCTAAGGCTTGTTTAAGACTTTCTTTGACAGGCCTGACAGGCCTGCACCACCAAAATGGGGCTGCAATCATATAGCTCATTTAGAGGTTGTACAGGAAGGTCTTTCACCCATGAGAGGCTGGACCTGGCTGGGGAAACAAGTAGTAAGGGATGTATGACATAAAAAAACAAATATTGGTGAAACTAAATAAGTACAATGATATAAAAATACATGTAAAGGGACCACACTGTATTGAAAGGTATTGATAACTAGTGCTAAATAATCCCTCCAAAAAATATATAAGTGCCAAGTGCTGAAAGTGCAAAACAGGTCATGTGTTTGCTGACTAGATCATGCCAAAATACAATATATGCACAGTAAACATAATACACAATAACATTGCACACTCTAACTGAAAGTGACAGGTGCTCAGTATGAGTATAAATATTAGTTAAAAGTAAAATCCACAATAAAGTGCAATAACAAAGTGCTTGACATATCATGTGCAAACAAACACCGCTATGTCGGTGCTTCAATTCCTCACTCCAAACATGATGCGTGTTAGCATGCCGCACATGTATATCATAATCCAAAAGTTACTAAAGTGCCTCCTCACCTTAACCATGCGACCCCTAAGGGCCACAATGCTTTAGGTAATATAACTCCACCAGACTGGGGATCTCTGTAATAATTCTCCTGTAGTACCACTCGATCTCCTCTGCCAGGTCACTTATGCTCTCAGATGGTAATACCCCCGGTATAATCACAAGGCCATAGGAGAGGTAGACGAAGAGATCCTCCATAGTGAAATGCCGTTTATTCCATATAGCAGATGAAAACAAGCTGAAAGAGAACACTCACAGTATAGCAGATCTCATACAGCTGGTCTCCCATGTGCTGTGGATGTACTGCAAGGTGCTGGGTGTTCAAAGATGGCGCCTGCCGGAAATGTGTAACTGGAAGTACGTCACTGTGCTCTACGCGTTACTCCACATGTCATGTTGGTTCATCAGGATCCTATCTAGTCAGCAAACGCATGACCTGTTTTGCACTTTATAGTGGATTTTACTTTTAACCAATATTCATACTCATACTGAGCACTTTCCACTTTCAGTTAGAGTGTGCAATGTTATTGTGTATTATGTTTACTGTGCATATATTGTATTTTGGCACGATCTAGTCAGCAAACGCATGACCTGTTTTGCACTTTCAGCACTTGGCACTTATATATTTTTTGGGGGGATTATTTAGCACTAGTTATCAATACCTTTCAATACAGTGTGGTCACTTTACATGTATTTTTATATCATTGTACTTATTTAGTTTTTCATGTGAAGCGCTTTCACCAATATTTGTTTTTTTATGTCATACATTCTGTGGTATTTGGAATAGGTGATAGCAGCTTGCATATATGTGGGGTTGTGTTTGTTCATACCATTGGAGCGCAGGGGGAATATTTTTATATAGGTAGTAAGGGATACTTTTTGACTCAAGTCCTGATCAGGAGAGGACAAAAAGGAGAAAGCTGTGAGCCAGGTCTGTCTTTGATTTATAGCTAAGCAGTACTATCAGGTTGGGGGGGCTGAGCCACAACCCATTGTATGATGCCACCATGCACTAGGAAACCATTCAAGGATCCCGCTATAAATTTCAGAAAGTAAATCAATGCACCTGCCTGCCAAACACTACTCAAAGCTACAAAGTCTCGAAATGCAGGTTAATATGGCTGCCACTTACATAGCACTAAATGTAGTAGCACTTGTCAGTTTTGCAGCAGTACTCTGCAAAACTGACAAGTGCAGCCCAATGCAGGCATTGTTCAGACAACATACTACACTTGCCCTTGAAGTATACCTATGAATACAGAAGTATGGGAGTTGCCTTTAAATGCCTCCTGAAAAGACAAGTTGCCAAGCTCTGTCTGGCTTTAATAATTTTGAGTCAATGGCTTGGAGTTTCCAAATATCCCATATTTATGCTTTTCCAGGTTTGTAATTCAAAATGTGTTGAATTAAAAAAAATCATCATAACAGCATACCTATGATTCTCAAAAAGAGAGGGCCAAAATGAAAGCCCATTTAATTGTCACATATACTGTACATATTAACATATTAGACATTGCTGCTCATGCCAGAGGTATAAAATAATTTTAGGACTGTTGTTTTATTTTAACGCTGAATTGATGGGCTATAATGGTTGCTAATGACTCTTACCAGTTATGCGTATCTTAATTTTTCACCATTTTGCAAATACACTTTTTAGCCTAGAAATGTTTTTTTATTAAATGGACACAGTCTGATCGTTTTTATTTGGCCCATTTACAACGGCCCTCTTATACAATGTGCCCTCCTGTGCATTTACAATGGCCCTCCTGTGCAATGTGCCCTCCTGCGCTCAACTTGAGCCAGTCAATGAATTCCTGCCATTGTACCCAAATTTTACTCTGTATTGGTCAGATATCGCTACATTTATAACTTCTGTAATTCAGGTTCCTTTCCCCCCTGAACCTCGAATCCTATTGAGCCTGTTAATGACTTTGTGGTCTTCTAAATTTAACACCTTTATAGCACACACCCTTATAGCAGCTCACTTAGCACTTGCCAGGAACTGGAAATGCCCTTAGCCTCCAACTCCTTCTGAGACTATTTCCATTCTTAATGACCATTTCCCTACTGAATATACAGTATGTTTACTAAGGTTCATTTCACATTACCCAAGTTTTATTCAAACTGGGATCCCTGGATCATATGTAGACCGTATATGTATTACTCTCATGTTAAAAACTGATCCCAACCTTAAAGGCAAAATATAAGCCTAATCCACACCCTAAAACTCTTATCATTAGCCACTGCCAGTACAAATCCAATAGGAACCTCCTTCCTATGTTTATTTGCACTAATGGTAACATTTATTATCTGTTTCTACCATCGCTTCCACTAGGATTGTGGATTACACCACCCTATTTTTGTTATAATACTTGGGTTGTTTTAACTCTAGCAGCATACTGCAATTTCTGATGTGATTTTGTTTTTGTATTCCTTTCTTTTTGAAATCTTAATAAAGATTTAAACTTTTTAAAAAATGCACCGTTCTGTAAACTAGTGCATGCCAAGCTTCAACATTCACATACAAAATTTAAAAAGGTACGCTGCATCTAGGAGTAGATATTTGGTGTGTATGTTATCGGATACTGAGTGACTCCAGAATTAAATTGTTGGGAGAATAATATAAAAACAGTACGTGCACCTATCTCAGGAGGCCAAAGTGTGAAAAACTCTCCATAAATACTGAAAAATCACCATACCTCGACAGACTGGCTCCTTTTCCCATTCTCCATCTTTACATGTAATTACTTGCTTTCCTTCAAGTTTATAATAATTTGCACACTTATATGTTACAGAAGAGCCTGATTGATAGGTCTTTGCTTTTATTTCTGTGATGTCTCCAGATTGTACTACTGGTGGTGCACCGCAGGTCTGTCCAATTCCTAAAACAAAAAAAGTACAACTCAACTCACACAACCACATATTTGTACACTTTTTTTTTTTTAACTATTTACTATTATTTCTATCATTTTCTATTTTAAAATATATCCAAAGTCAAAAATTGTTTTGGTTTGCTAATGAAAGGAAATTTAATTTTTTGACTTTTTTTTTAATTTGTTTTTGGGGATACGATTTCTTTTTATTGTTTTCCACCTGTTCCCTGCAGTGCCACCCATCAGTGCTGTCCATCAGTGCAGTATCATCAGTGCCAGCTCATCAGTGCCACCTATCAATGCCGCCTCTCAGTGCCTCCTATCAGTGCCCATCAGTGCTGCCTATCCATGTCACCTCATCAGTGCTGCCTATCAGTGCCCTTCAATGCTGCTCATTAGTGCTGCCTATCAGTGCAGCCTCATCAACGCACACAATTGCAAAATTTTATGATAGAAACAAAGAAAACATTTTTTTGTTTAAAGCGCAAAAAATAAAACACCCAGTGGCGATTAATTATCAACAAAAGAAAGCTCTATTTGTGTGAAAAAAATGATAAAAATTTCATATTGTGAAATTTTATATATATTTCATACAGTGTTGCATGACTGCGCAATTGTCATTCAAAGTGCGACAGCGCTGAAAGCTGAAAATTGGTCTGGGCAGGAAGTGCCCAGTAGGCAAGTGGTTAAGCACGGAGCACCTTTTTCTTCACATTTGATTAGGGACTTACATGTATATGTGTTTATTTTGCACTGCATTGTACTGTATATCAGGGCTTACAATTTACTAGCCAGGCACAAACCTTACTCTCCACCAGCTGCCCCACCCAAGCTTGTCCAGGTCCACCTCCAACCCCACTCCCTGCCCGTTCCTCCAACCCCGCCCCCAGCTCTGCCCCCAACCACACCCCCTTAAAGCTTATGAAGTTACATTTTTCTTTAGAATAAAGAGTCCAAAATATAAAAAAACTGCAATTATAACATAGCTTTATTATGTAAATTTAAACATAACAGCAATAGCTTAATAGCAATAGGGTGCAATCAAAATATCAAGATTTATAGCTTTAAACCTGTAGTGAACATTTTGTATTTATTTTGTTTATATCCTGCATCTTTAAAAAGAGACTTTAGTAACTAAAGTCTCTTTTAAAAGATGTAAGTTTAGTTTACAGAAGTATAGCATAAGAAAAAGTGCTTATTTTGATGCCAAAAAACATGGAATAATAGTTACTGTAAACATGTATTTTTTATCTCCAGCAGAGACCTTAGAGAAGTGTGGCACCCCCAAGGTGGTGGAGAGTGGGCCTCGTGTCCCACAAGGCGGTGGAGAGCGGGCCTTTGCTTGTGTCCCCCGCGGCAGGGGAGAGCAGACCTCTCCTCGAGTCCCCTGCGGCGGGGGAGAGGGTGTCTCCTCTCAGCAGAGGGGAGCGGACCTCTCCTGCACCTGTCCCCTCAGCGGCACTGCCAGTGTAATGGCGTGCTGAAGAACCCAGAAACCGGAAGTTGGAAACCGGAACTCGGCTTCACAATGAGGCTTGGAGAGCAGGTGCAGCCGCTCCATCATCTGTGCTCGCCGCTCACCACACAAGAATTTCTCCTTGCATTTGGCGGACAACCAAGCGGCTTTTTCAAGCCCTGCTGTATATCATATATTATTTGACGGTATACTGTATGTATTGCAGGTTGTTCAGTTTTGTATATTACACACATTATTTGATGCAGAGGCCAGAGTTCAGGAGTTAGTGGCGCAGAGTTCAGGGTCAGTACTAAGGGCACACAGGTCAGGAACAAGGGGATGTAGAGTCCAGAGATTAGGGGTAAGTGGTGCAGAGTTTAGAGGTTAGGAGTAAATGTTTGTCTATCTCACAGTACAGCTACACAGCATTCCCCTGCACAGTTTATCACCATCCTTGGACTTGATGGTTTCTGTTGTCTCCAGCGTAAGCTCTCTTACTCTTTTCCCCAGGTCCAATAGGTGGGGCTAGCAGGACTGTAAATGGCCTCAGCAATAGCCAATACCAGTCCACCTTCCCATGTAAACAAGGACCTACCCCCCAACATTTGACCGGCACCCAATCACCTTGCCAGCACAAGGGCGTGGGGGATCTTTGCTGCAGCTGCAATTGTCACTCGCAGCTGCAGCAAATTTCCCTCAAGAAAGAATGGAATGGTGTTTTCCCATGTGATACAATGTGTAAGGGCACAGTGGGCCCCCTTTCTCCTTGGAGTTCATGTGCACTACACAAATTACACCAACAGCTGATACACCACTGACCAGGAGACATTGGATCTTAGGAACACTGTCACCTGGGGGTTTAAATGAAGAGGTGGAAGTTAATGCCATAAATAAATATATAGAATGAACCTCCTGCGCTACCTGCCTGTGCAATAAAGAAAGGGAGAGCTGCTATTACCTGACTATATGCCGATATAGAAAAATATGTATATTCAAAACAAAATGGTGTAGTGCTATCCCAAAGAATTATATGACTTCATCCACATACATGAATCATAATAAACAGTGTAACCCAGTAATGGTTAAAACAAGTGAAAACATTGAACCACAAATATGTAGTACCACAGAACTGAAGAAACAAAAAGAAAAAAAAAAGAAAAAAAGCCACGGAGTGACCAGGAAAAATGGTCAGTGTGATATAGTGTACAATGGAAATGTGAATAAAAACCTCCCTTAATATCATAAGGTGTAAATGTGCTCCCAGATGTCTGAAAGTGACATCCAATAATGCCTTATAAATATTAATGCAAATTGATAGTGAGAACCAAATCGGGAAGAGTGCTGACCGAGGGAAAAGGTCAGTGATGGAAACACAATAGATAGTGAATGGTTACAAGCCGTCCTGAATGCAGAAGGCTAAAAGTGATAAAAGTGAACTCCCAGATGCCCAAAAGATGGCATCAACATAAGTGACCATAATACCTAAATGCACAAATCAACGTGCAATACTACTATCCGTGTGACCAAAAAGGTCCTAAAATATTTCCCATAAATAATAATGAAGTAATAATAATGTGACACCATACAAAAGTACCAGTATGTTTGAAATGTTTTATGTTGTCTAAGGCAAAAGTAAAATATTATAAGGTCATACAGTTATATAAACTGGAATGAAAAAGCACCTACGTTTGCATTCTGGTCCTTTTGTCCAATTTGAGTCCTCGCAGGTGATATAGTTTGCATTTTGTCCCATCGTATAGCCATCAGCACACTCATAAGTTACTCTTTCACCTGGCAAGTATGTGTGTTTCCTTTGTGCTTCTTTGATTACTGCATTACGAATTGTTGGTGGGCGTTTACATGAGGAATCTAAAAGTGGCACAAAAACATTATATTTTTTAGCATAATTCAGCCATAAGTAAACAGGAAAAAAAAAGCCAAACACACGACAGTGTATTGCGATCTTGATTCTTCATTTAATTTCTATAGCACTTGTAGTCACGATTGCCCACTGCAGCACAGACATTCAGGGAATATAAGATGTAACACTGCCTGGCACAGCCATTAACTTCAGAGGTCTGTGTGGAGATTTAATTGATAGGGGAGAGGTGTGGAAACTACACTTTTCTTTCTAACATGACCTTTAAGTAGAATACCCAACACGGCTATGCCTTTTCACAATTTATAAGAGAAAACCTTTCCAAATACAAATAAAATTAAACTTACAGAGTAAAAAGTGTCTGTGTGGGTGGGGGAGTATTGTTTTGATGCATCCTTTGATTACTTCATTCTATCTAGCATCTCCACAATAATCTGTGCCAGAATTATGATTACAAAATCATACTGTATGTTATAACTGAAGAGAAAAGAACTGTTTTTCTAACCAACCTTATTATAACCGTGGTCAATTTAATTTTTTCTAGACAACTGTTATACTGACATTTATAAATAATTAGAATATATAACAATCTGCCAGGTGCTTGGGACTTGTGGAATATGGAAAAGGTTGCAATAAATAAATAGTACAGCAGTCAGTGGTAGTGATAGCAGTAGGATTGGTACCCATTGGTATCAGGGATGACTGGCTTAAACTCTTTATTTATACAATGGTGATGTATTTTGAGCAAAACTAATTTGAGTCAAAACTTGTGGGAGACAAACTTCTTCAGTTGTCTTTTGATTATATCACCTATCACACTAAACTTTTCTTAAAAAGGATGCTGGTGGGAAGGCACAAGATTGGGCCAGTTGAGGCCACAGGTCTAGCGTACATACTGAGTAATCAACTGATACATTTTCTGGGACCACTGGGCAACAGTTTTGTAAGCTCATAACTACCAAGTAAATTGCCACTCTGGAGTCATCACTATGTAGTGAGATGCACATTAACTAGCTTTTTTCCAAGGAGTTGCATTTTTTCTGAACATTTTTTTGCTGATCTTTGATCAAAAGCTATCTGGAAAACAGGCTCAATATCTTACATACTTGTATTGTCTCCAGCTTAACCACTAAGTGACTGTGGATCAATGATGGCCTAGATCAGTGGTTCCCAACCTCAGTCCCCATGTATCCGCAACAAGCCATGTTTTGGGAATTTCACTTAGATAAAACAGCTGTCATGAATACCAAGTCATTGACATTGATTTAAAGAACCTATGCAAGGTGAAGGAAATTCTGAAAACATGACTTATTGGGGTACCTGAACACTAGGAACCACTAGCCTAGATCAAGACCCACTGCAATAGGCCTGCATGAAAAAAACTGCAGTGGAGATGCATGGGATCTCCAGTTCTTCTGCCTGTCACAATAGTCCCTTGAGAATGCAAATTTACAGACACAATTTTCTTGGTTTACTTTAACCTTTGCCTTAGGTTTTTTTATTCTAAAAATGGCGAGGAAAAAAGAGGTCATGTGACTATCCTTTTTCCTTTCATTTTTCTCAATAGAGGGTGGAGTAAGGTGGAGCCAACCACCGCAGTAACACCCACTCAACAGAGAATTACATTTAGCAGACCTTATGCATATCTAAATTAAAGTGGTATTAATGCTTGTTTTTTTCTATTAAAATAATAAACATGTCATACTTACCTGCTCTGTGCAAGAGAAGCCCCAATCCTCCTTTTTTCAGGTCCCCCCACTGGTGCTCCTTGCCAATCCTCTTCAGCAAGTGTTCCTATAGGAAGCCGCTTTCTATGGGGGCACTTGTGCAGGCTTACTCACCTTTAAGTCGACCTGGTAACACTGAGAGTGCATTCCAGATTTCCTAGATTCACAATGTCAGAACCAATAAGCCAACCCGGCAACACTGCAAGGACATTTTCAGATTCTAGTGCATCCTCCAAGCGACTAACCAGCCCCTTCTGCAAGATTATACTTCTTCCTGGCTCTCTCCATAAGAGGACCTCGCCTCGATCTTCTCACCTTTGCTCACCTTCTTCCACACCGGGCAGGACAGCCTCCAGATCACTTCAGCATATGTAGGCCCCAATAGGCTTCTGGGTCTAGTCACAGAGCTCCCTCCAGCAGCACTTCTTCAGGACTTAGCCTGAGGCAAAAGAGAGCGAGCATTTGGCCTGCCCCAAATATTTATATCCTTGGCAAGCATGCACCCAAGGTCATGAACCTCCTTAGTGGGCTGACTGAAAGAAATATAAATATTCATAACTCAGTCTATTGTGCAATCTCATACAATGACCTGTGCTAGCGGTGACACCTAATGGCGACAGTGAGAAGTGCACAACCCAGCTGAGCTTAGGGAAAAGCCAGCTATAAACTGTAAAATCCTTTTGAGCTGCCTACAGCCTAGCCAAAAGCTAAATTATCATAGCAGCCCCAGTTTAGGAACAGGGGGCTACATGTCTATGGCAAAAGCATCTGTTCATGACATTTGGGTTGTCTTCTACTTCTTGACTGCACTAGTGTGAACTTTCTTATTGGAACCCAAATAACTTACTGTCCATGTGTTTTTGTTGCAGACTGCAACTGGTATAAACCGGCCCTTAGACTTGGCAGTATGTTTCTAACATCCTTCTTTGATGCATTCCTTTACAGAGAGAGTGACTCATGCACTTCCCACTATTCTGCTGCCCCTTGCTTATTGAGATCTTAACTTTTGTGGTTTTACAGAATCCTCCATATGAGAATATAAATGAGATTTCCTCACTGACCTTGTCTCACAAAGTAGCCATTCTTCTAGTCATTACGTTAGCTAGGAGGGTTTCAGAATTAGTGACCTTATATTTCCAAAATGTTTTCTCATCCTGGCCAAATATTTTCTTTTCACCCAAAATGTTCTCCATTTATCCTGATAAGGAGATTGTACTACTCTTGTACTTGGCTCTGGCACAGGAAGATTACCTTGCATTGGGGTTGATTTACTAAAATTGGAGAGTGCAAAATTTGGTGCAGTTCTGCACAGAAACCAATCAGCTTCCAGGTTTTTAGTCATAGCTTAACTGAACAAACTGAAGCTAGAAGCACCATATAGAGGTGCACCAGATTTTTCACTCTCCAGTTTTAGTAAATCAACTTCATTGTCTGCTTGTCAGCAACTTGGCACAGGACTTTAGAGCCTTTAGGGACTTGACAGAGTTATTGAATGAAAATGATGTTGAGGTTGGTAAATTCAGTTTCTAGAGTTAGTTAACCCACAGTTGGGGTTTACAGAATTGGTCATGGAGAATAAAAGATTTATATGTAAACAGAAAACATTTCCATTACTGTACTAATCCATGCATATCAGCATTTTTTCTGGAATAGTATGCAACCTTCTAGTCTGACTCTGTAGTATCAAGCCCTTTGGCAATTACAAAATAATGATGCTATTTTTATTAAACCTTCTGACACAGGACAACATTGTACTTATTGACATTAAGGACTATGAAAATATGTGCCAGGACAAACTTAAAAATAAATCATTGGATAAAACAAGTTCTATTGCTACTGTACAGGGCTTTAATCAGTATCAAAACTTACTTGAAATGTATTAAGCAAATGCACTAACAAGGAAAGACATCAACAGCCATTTAGGCTTAAAACATGGCGCCACAGCCCAGCAACACATGTGTGTGATGATGTCACAGGTAAGCTCTTCCCAACCCCTTTCAAGTGACTATACATTTTCAGGGAACTACAGCAACATAGGCTGTATGAATTTTTTTTTTATCATATTTGCACTCCATGTTAATTTGGGATCTGATGAATGGAGTATAAGTTTATTTTGTTATGGTATTTAATCATGAATATTCGTCTATTATTGATGGGGCATATTTTTACTCCAACTGTTGTATTAGTTGTCACGATCGCGGCGTCAAACCCCAAACCTTCTCACCAAACTTGTAACCGAAGGACTAGCCGATCTAAAACTGCGATGTCACGTGCGTAGCAATGCCACACCCAGCAGCACCCTGCACAATGATTTTCCAGCTAATTGGACCACAATCGATGTACCGGCAGCCTGAGCGATTGTTACTGGGTCAGGTTAATTACGCAATTAACCCTTCACCCTGCCACCTCCTCCTTTTTGTACAGAGAAAGAGGAAACTCGGTAATCTCAGCAATAACACTGTAATGGTTGAGGTAATCGTCTGCATAACACAGTTATACAGAGGGTTAAACAAACACAGCAGCATTCTCTTTAGAGGCAGGAATTCGTAAATTGCAATAAAGCCCTATAGAAACAGTTCAACACTTTCAGAAGGAAAGATTTATTACTAAAAGGTCAAATAGGTGCAAAAAAAGAAAAGAGGTAACTAAGATATATATATATATATATATATATATATATATATATATATATATATAGAGAGAGAGAGAGAGACCAACAGCACAGCAAAGAGATAGAGAGAGGTAAAAGGGTTAAGGTACTTGCCAAAGTCCTGGGTTAGCAGATCCAAGTTTCAGAGCAAAAGGGCACGGGTCTCCCCAGGTGGTATTGATGTTAAAATGGAAGACATCTTCAACTCACCCTCTTAGGCCTGACATCCTATTTTGTAGTCCCCAGCAGGGGGTGTCTCTGAAGTCAAGGACCAATACCCCACTTAGGGCATGGAGGTATGGGTGGATACCTCAACTAGAGCCAAAATCTCCCATAACTCATATCTTGGCCCATAACTTTCCATCTGCACAAGTGACATTCCACCCGCGGGTAGATTATTATGCAGACAAGTCTGAGGATTGATTAGATATGAATTATGAAATTATACACTGAACAGTTCACAAGATCTATTTTTCTGCTTTTCTATGTGTCCGAGACAAGGCGAGTGACCCATCAAACTGTTCGCCTGCTCATCACCCATCTGACGATATGCCTGGTTTTTATAGAAGTCTCTCATATTC